GGGGTTGCCAAACTGTAACGGATACTGCGCTTTGAATAGTTTTTCGTTATATATTGCCAAATCATACGATATTGCGGTAATATCACGAGACCTGTATAACAAATGCGTTAAAAAATTTTGGTCACAGACATTCGGCGGTATCATGATAATAGTGATATCATCGCGAGATATCGGTATTATTATACTGTCAACTCGTAAATGTCGCAAAGCCATCGTTATAGCCTATGCAGCGGCTATTGATTAAAGCATCAGAAAAAATAGAATCGAATGTATTTATTTCTCTAAACAATCTTTATTAAATTGAGGGGACATTAGAGTTGTATAATGATAATTGTGAACTACAAAATTCTACTTTCGTTATACCCAAAACAACTTCGCCAGTAATACAGTCTCCCACACAATTATTGTCGTCCATGGCACAAAGGCCTCTACCAACAAAAAAACCACGCCTCACTAGCTCCACCACGTTTAAGTCACTCAGTTTTAAATGAAGAAATAGGGAAAACACACAATGACACCCATGTCGAAGCAATTGAAAATCCCCCCTCCCCCACCAAGCAATAATTGCAACACATTCAAATCCAGATAAACAATCCTGCGATATTTAGCCTCTCGAAAGTTAACTTGCGAAAATAATTATCTAGAAAATTGAGCAAATTATTGTTAGGGAGATGTTTGCCAATGGATTAAAATTATATTATACATAATGTTTTTTAAACCATTGCCTTTAGCTTTCCTTTCAGTTTTTTCTGATATTTAACATCTTGCCGTACCTAAATGTTGGATTTTAGCATGTATTACTTTAATAAAAGCATAGTTCGCTAATTACACTGATACACATGCAGTTTGCTAAACAAACTTTATCTATATGCCTTTCTACTATTTGCGCTGTTGTTTAAAAATAGCATTCTGCTTGCAATGTGACTACCTTTGTTTACATACTAGTTCCACTAGTTGATCGTGGGTAAATATCCTCAGCCACAAATTGCTAATTATAGGGGGAGGTTAAACGGATTCCATACCAATAGACAAGGAGATATTTAATTAAATACCGCTATAACATTTAGCACCGTATACTACCGTGAATAAGCATACCCTTATCATAGTGAGCGTGCATAGGATCGTCAACTCTTATCGGAAAATTATTACGTAAAGTATGGTCTACAACACCGTTGAGGGGTAGCTTGCAACAGTAATTAAGTAACCAGAAGCGTGCTATTATTTTGTATACTTACGTAATAAATTGTAAGTTGGGCGCACATCATGCAGTTAATCTAGGTAATCTTGGGGGTGCCTATTCTCATGATCGGCGCTTATTCACGTATTATAATTTAAATACATATATACCACCACATCAACTAAACTTTCAAGAAATATGCTCACGAATATTAAAGTACGCCCTCACCAATTCATCAAGCTAATCAAATTTGGAAATTATAAAATATAGCAAAAAGGTGTAATATGATACTAACTGTCTAATGGAACAAATTGTCTTACCACCGACGACGGTTTGAACAAATTCAAAATAACCTTTTAAGGATATGCACGCAATGGTCTGTAATAGTGGACAGTAATAAACTTTGTGTAATAAATAAGCGTAATCATTTTCACTATCTAGTCATCGATAAGCTGATTTTCAAATTTGATTGGTGAGAAGCGCAAAGGATTCTCATGTGATCAAATTCCATAACAATAATCGCACACTAAACCAATTAGAAATAATTTTGTTATACTAAAACGTCTTTGAATTTTATACTTATTTAAATATTGTTTATATCTTGCATTATTGGTTTTTCCCATTTGAAACCTCCGAAAAATGCATTATCTAAATTGCAAATTTCGCCTATGTCTAATTACAATTTTGTCATCTCTTAAAAAGTTATTCGTTTAATTATGTGCTTGCAAATTTAATGCACTGCAAGCAGGTTTACTACGTTAGTTAAACAATAAAAAGTATGGTAAGGGACTTTGGTAAAGCTGGTTCTTATGATGATAACTCGTTAGATACATCACGTCTCAAGTTTGTTTAGAAATGGACTAACAGACGGGACACTTTTATGCAAATAAAATTTTATTGTTATCGTGTAACATGTAAAGTGCGACATGTTTATTGTTTATATACAATCTTAAAAACAATAATAATTATAATAAAGAAACAGACATTTAGGTCGAATATCTCATATAGCTCCTTTGAAAGCTCTCATAGCTTTTTTGAAAGCTTTTGATGATTGAATAAATAAAGACACGGTGTTTGCAGCCTTTCACATTCGTTTTCGAATAATAATTTGTTGCTACGAACATATTATAATATTATATTTATAAATAAGCATGGTTGATGTTATTGCAATTAGTATAGACGTCTGTATTAGCATATATATACCTGCATTCTTTATTTGTTGCATCCGCATCCGGCGTTTGATCCTTCACCGCAACTGCAGCCAGAACCGCAAGTGCAGCCAAAACCACAAGTGCATCTGTATAATTTAAGATCAGTTAGTACAGTAAAAGTCTGCAAACTTTAATCGACATTTTTGTGCTGACCCGTTGTTGTTTTCCATTGCTTGAGTTAGTTTGAGTTTGAGAGTTTGAGAGTTTGAGAGTTTGGTTTGGTTGCTTTGCTGTGCTTTGTTAAAGTGAACCTGGGGAGGAAAGGATGAAGGTAAAAACTTCGCCTTTTTATTAAAGATTTGGAGGCTTATACACACAATTCCAAATTAATCGTTTACATGTCACAATTTTATCATCAGCTTATCAAAGATATGTCACATCTCAGTTGATGTAAACACGGAAAGTCTTGGAAGTGCCGCATCTCAAAGATGTAACACGGAAAGTTTTACGTTTAAAAAATGCCGCAAATATTTCATTGTTTCGAGTACCCCAATTTACCATATTTAATTAAATTATTGTTGCAAAAATGCCGCACCTGCATGACTTTGAAAATGTCGCATGACTTGGAGAATGTCGCACGAGAACATTTGCATACTTTAGTATGAAGCAAAAAGATGGCAATTTGTCTCACCTTGCGCATAACAACCACGGCGCCAGTGTTTATCGCTCAACTCGGTTTTTAGCATTTATTGACGAAAAATTTTACACTTTTTTTTTTATTAGAACCATCTCGAAACACTGTCAAGTCCCTGAAAGCGACCCATTTTTTACGCATATAATTACATGAAATTTGCGACATTGTCACAAAAAACATTGCAAATTTCAAATATGACAAAAGATTGATGTAGTAAATTAGATTATCTTTTCATAAACGCAACAACAAAGAGTTTAAGAATAGATGGAATACAACTATCGTGGGCATCTGAAACGTTTTAATAAACAACAAAGAAAGAAAAAACTGGTTACATACAAATTAATAGATGTAGACTAGCGCCCCAATCCAGTTTTTTAGTCAAGTGGTGATACGTTCTCCGGATATAGGTTTAATAATTATTCCGAAATAGTGCCTTTAATACATAGTAAGTGTTGTATGTCAGTTTGAAATTTATGTCCGGTCCAAATGGACATTTGTCAGATTGCAATCATAAAGATAATCAAGTACACAATATAAATTATTTTATTGACATTACGAATTAATTCTACCGCATATAAATACGTCATAATACACAGAACGATGTATTAATTAACATTACTGCATTGACAAATTATGAGGTGGCAGTTTAAGTTACAATTGACAGAGGTTTGCGACAAGCACATTGAGCTGTTCGTTGAACAACTAGTCTTACAACTACATCTAATCTGACCAAATTTTGAGCTAAAGCAGCTTTATATTTTTGACAAAATGCTTTGAGTTGCAGAATACGTTAGTTAGTAATTGTTTCTACTTGTAGACGAATACAATTGTGAGTGTAAAAGAATACTCTGAGTTACAGAATAGGTTAGCGAATAGAATAGCCCTTCTATTAGTACGGAAATGTAAATACAATTGTGAATAAGCATCACCTGACATATCATTGTGAAAGAATACTTTGAGTTGCAGAATACATTAGCGAATAGTCCTTTTATTGGTGCGGGGATGCAAATGAGTACATAACATATAATTGTGAATATGCTTAAATTACTAAAAAAGTCAGTGAGAAAAACTGAAAAACGAGAGTATTAAAATGGCGTAAGAACGTGGCTCGACACGTCATTGTGAAAATATGCCGAGTTACAGAATACGTTAGCGATATTCCTGAGTAAATCTCGCCTGATTGACATTATCATTGTGAAAGAATGCTTTGAGTTACCGAAGACGTTAGTAAAATTTGCCCATTCGATGGTTGATATTCGAGACTTAACCATCCCTAAGGTGATGCGACACATCCATTAGCCAACTTGTCAACCAAATTTTGGGGCTAAAAATATTGGATAAATCGTGTAAAATTAACGGATCTGCGCTTTCGATTTACGAATCAACGTTTAGAATTTGTCAATACTATACTATACGTACGCTTTTCAATTACATTTTGTTGAATGAACCGTTCTGTGAGTAGTTGACGACAATTAGCAGAATTCATATTATTGTTCCTAATCCTCCGCATCGGCATAGAATTGTGCAGTTTTTTGTGGGAAGCATATTTAACTGACTGTTATAATGGGTCTAGTTCATTTCCCCGACAATCACTTTCTCGATAATTATTCCCAATAAATATTTCGGCACTAAGATAATCCAGCAGGAATTGTCGAAAATAGTTGTCGGGGAAATGAACGCATAAGTCACTCCTAATCCTAACCCAACACTCCTGTATGCAAAATATGTAAAGCTGTGTTCTCAACCAATTTCGGTGTATCCAAATTACGGAAGCATCTAGGCACACACTCTATTAATGCACATAAGAAACAACAACAAACTCTTCATAATTTTCGCAATTAGCAAAGTGGATAGTCTGTGACGTCCAACCATTTAGTACAGTTGAGATGACAGAATGGCGAGGAATGGTTTCTACATTAGATCCGCGCGGTATACATTTCATAATCGACATACGGTACATGAATCAAATTGCAAAATTATGAAGATTAATCAAGACAATGGTCGACCAAGTTCCAGGGAGAGTATCATCATTATGTTGATTCTGATTGAACGTTTAAGACATTTCTTTTAAATACTATTCCGATGACTGTGTGACATACAGGGCTGAATATAACGGAGGCTGTAATAAATGTATTGGACGAGCATAATCTTGGCGGCAATGCATTAGAATTGACAACTGATTATGCATCAGTAATGCTAGTCTGTGGTAGAACACTTGCAAAGAGCTGGAAAATGAGTTTGACAACTTGAGCTTTGCTTCCCAAATATGACAATATTGCTTATCTTCTTGCGGCAAAAAATGTTACTCTGTCCAACCATTATCATATTCGTCATATTTTTTTATTCAACTCATTGATTAAACCGCTTCATTATTTTTTGTGTTATTAACGATAGTCTCTCAGTTTAAACAAAATACGCATATTATACGATACCGATGGTTTAGTTTAGAGACAAAAGTACGTTGTTGTTTCTGAAGTCAATGTTTTTAACTGAACAAAAAAAATTCGTTATCATGTTCAATAAAAAATTTATAAAAATTTATTTCTTACAAACTTTGCGTTCTATAAATATGTTGATAACACGAACATTATGGCTTATTTGTTGCAGAAATGTTCGCAGTATTATAAAGGGCAAGCTTATTTTACTTTGCGTAACGTTTTATTGCTTTTTTGACTATAAACGACATAGAGTTAAAACTTCGCGTCTAAAAATATATCGACTATAATCTGATGTCAGAAAATTTAATAACACTAGAATTACTATTCACAACGTATTAAACTTTTGTCTTTGTACCAGAAACTCAATTGACATCTAATAACTGTTTCTTGGTTTAGGCAAATCTCCAATAGGTAAGAGCATACTAGAGTATTTACTCTCCTTTTCGAAACGTGATAAGGGTTTTACATCATTATGATAAACGGTATTCCATGCGTTGTTATTATATATATAATTATTTTCGTTAATAAGAACGTTAAGAACGTCAATATCATTGCAAAGTTCCCACGCTCCAGGACGCTTATCAGGATCAGCATCACAACACCGCTCGGCAAGCTTCTTGTATTCCTCTGGTGCAGAATCGGGCATCGATGGTCGTAGTCCATCCATAACGTCGCGCATTAGACTTGCATCAAATTGTCTACCTCTAAAAGGCGATTCGCCAGTAGCAATCAAATATATAATAATGCCAAAAGAATATACATCCGATTTCTGAGTGAATTTTCGAGTACGGAAGACTTCCGGTGCAATAAAGGGTAAAGCGCCTTGAATGATTTGATTTGATTTGTGTGACTTTACTGATCGCGAACGACCAAGATCGAATATATATGATTTTGTGTTGTCATTAACAACTATGTTTCCACCGTGAAGATTACAGTGCACTAATCCTGATCTATGAATGTAAGATAGGTAATGTGCAATATCCCTCAAATGGCGTAATTTGTCCAACCATGTTAATTTGTTAATATTTTGATCCAAATAAGACAAAAGACTACTGTTAGCATATTGCATAACCATCATGTACTCTTTTGTTTCTGGGTCTTGTGTGATTCCATAAATATCCCTGATTGCACACTTGACATAATTTCTGAACTATTAAATATTAATATCAATAAGTACAACGGTCAAATTAAATACCACTTTAATTTAATACTATTACTATTAACTGTTGCTTACCTCTGAAACGAATAATTCTGAAGCCTGATCAAAATTTTTAAACCGCTTGAGTACGACAGTTCCTTGCAAATTCCATTCAGAATTTTCATATTTGGCAGTATAAACTGTTCTGTAACTGCCAGACCCAATCTCTTTGAGTTTGTAAAAGTCGCTGTACTGCATGTACGTCCCATGTTGGTAAAGTTGTATAATCCTGTCCAATATAGTACGAGTGTCATAGTAGAAGACTAAATAATATCTCCGAGTGGACGGTTCTTGAGTAATCCCAACTATCCAAACATTATCAGGTGTTAATATCTTTGGGTATTCCAGAGTTAGCTATTTGAGTAAACAATACAGTCAATAAAATAATCAATAATAATAAATAATCAATGCGTAATACCAATTGCATTATTAGTACACGTGGAGTAATTTACCTGATGAAAATCAAGCGACTTGGCGTTACTGATCTGCTTGAGCATCACTTTTATCAATTTATTTATCATTGGAACCAATCCGTGATGCGTGTGCATCCATGGCGTAATGAGGTCATTTCTCGTACGTTCATCAATGTGGAATACTCTATCCATTGTATATGCGCATCGTATGGATGAATTATATTACTCCACGATTCCATAATGAATGAATCCAATGTCTTGTTACCCGTAGTCCAGTCAAGACGTCGTGGGGCTTTACAACAAAGACAGAATGCCTTTATCTTGGGTTCTGGTCGCTCTGTACACGCCAGACATAATTCACTTCCGTATTGTATTTTTATCAGACAATACTTCTGTTCGCTTGTTCTGTATGTAAATCCGATGGTAACCCAAGCATCCGTGGTAAAAATATCAGGATGCTTATCACATAACTGGTGGAAATAATACATAATAATAAATCAATAACTATTTAAACTATTCAATAAACATGACGTATAAGTAAATGGTTTACCTCGGCATAATATAAATCATGTGACTCGTCTGTTATCTCAAGTGGAATCAATTTAATGTATGTACCAGTAGGTAGACCGTGCAAGCGTAAATCTCCATGTCTATCAGCTTCAATACAATCGAATGAAATCCATTCCAGATAGGCGTCATTTGGTGAGTTTGTTTGTAGTTGAGATTTCTTAATAAAGTCATCGAGTTGGTGATTGTTGCTAGTCCACCCATCGGATAATTGTTTATAACCACAAATGCACCACACGGGACTACATCGGAGTATTCCGCATGTGGAGCAGAAGCCATAAAGAGAATAACAATTGTAAAAGCGTCTACTAGCAACCATGTAATAGTAATCGTCATTAGACTTGGTAAACCCCTTTATGAGTTTGTTGCGATGACTAAGCCATACGGAGTATCGTCTAAATTGATTATCGTCATTGTTATTGTACTTGTGTGTTGGGAGTGAGTATATTCTAGCAAACTCACTCACAAATGTTGGTGTGCACTCTTCGCTACTTCCAAGTAATACCAGCGTTATTGGAGAATACCGCATGTGAATAGCGGAGTAGACGTTGTCAAATTGAGTTGGCCCTATGCCGATAATACCTGAGCCAGCAATCCATTCCAGCCATAAGTCTTTGTTTTCACTATCCAAGGAGGATTGAATCAAGCTGTCAATTGGTGTACAAGTATCTCTAACTAACGACATCGGTTCTTCTGAATAGAATGATCTTCGGAGGCAAATTCCGATTTTGGGGATTACATATTTGTGTAACGAGGAAAACCAATGATTTTGAGGAAGGCAAAATCAACTAACTAGCGCCCCTTCGTGTTTGTTTTATGTGGACTGGAAGATTGTATTTATTGGTATAAATGGTATAGAAGGGTATTTCAAATTGATTCATTATCAGGTTTAATTTAATATTTGGGAATAATCTAATTTCGAGGACGCAATTTTAGGTCGGTCGGGTTTGAGGAAAATTTGTTGGTTGATTTTAGTTGAGGAGTTTTTTCATCGAGGTTGGAAGTAGCAGTTAAAGCCGTCTTTTGGCTCGCTTTTTTATTTTTATATTTTCGACTGTCTTGAGCTTTTGTGATTGTTATTCTGTTTAGTGAGTTGTACAGAAGGTATCTTTTTTCTGAAGCAGATAGATGGTAAAGCAGATGGGTAAGGAGATGAGTTTCTAAATGTGGTAGAGAAGGCAGTGTATGGATCGGTGTTTGGTATAAATTCGAAGTTGTATAGTTCGACGCATAACTTGTTCTCATATACATTTAACTCTCGATAGAAACTTTGGAGCCTAATCTGGCTTTTTTTGTTCGCTCATATAAATTTTTCTCGTTACGTTATGCCGAACGCTGATGTTGAATTTAGCTAAATTTGTAGTGGTGACATTTCTGACACGTCCTGCGTAGCTCTTTACAGGAAAAGCGATTATGTTTGTGCAGTTACCTTTATGTTTCCGATGGCTCGCAGCAGTATGAGCCGGTGATATTGCTTTCGAGGTTTATATTTAGCGGAGACGTGACGTAAATGCATTCATCTAGAATTGTATGACGGAGTTCGTCAAATATAATGTCGATTTGTTGAACTTTGAGTACTTACAGTTAATTAATGTTTTTTTTTTTATTTTGAAGCTTGTCGATAGAATAAAATACTGCGTGCGTACATTTATCTCTTATAAATAGATGCATGATTCCGAGGGAGTAGGGTGGAGCGGAGATACGATAAGAGTATAAAATTGGGTTGCATAAAATTTCCAAAAATCTTATCAGAAAAGGTAACCAAGAGTTAGCACGAAATATTAAATTCGGAAAAAAATAATAATAAACGGCGAATGAAATGGTGTAATCATTAAGATGGTGCGTCAAGTAATGAAGGAAAAAATTTACTATACGGGTAAAAAAAATAACAATGAGATGAGTTAAGAAAATTTATTTTAATATAAAAGTTTGTCCCAAAGTCAAGAATTTCCGGATAGTGTTTGCTTGCGAATATTACTTTCTATCGTTCCCTAGCGGCTTATTTAATTATAGGACTAATACTGCTGCTAAAATTATAATTCTTTGATTAACCAACTTTACCAGAAGGAGGAAATTCAAACGGTTTATTAGCCAGGCCAATCCAGGTTCAATATCAAACTCTTAATGCTCAATTGTTAGCATACTCGCTGTATTTTGCAATGAACATTTTGCAGTCCTTTGCCGCCAATATAATCACAATAACAACGCAGATTTTTTAGTGTTCGATAAATTGTTACTGGTACAACATGTCCCCTTTTTCTCATGACATTTGTTAATATCGTTGATAAGCACCCCCATAATTATCACTATAATCATTTTGGGCGCAACTCGTGATTATCATTTCAAGTATGATCTGTTCAGCTTTATCTATTTCAG